TTTTGGAGGACTAATAAATTCCTAGAAGGAGGAGCTGCACAATCCAAAGTGGGATGGATGCCGTCTCTTCGAATCAGACCAGGCTTTCCCCAAAAGGAGTGCCAATTATTAATGTAGCCCACGTTGTTTTCAGGACACCACTTAGACAACCAGTGGTTGAATAACGACATGCGGCTAAACATGTCATCACTGGTCAGATCAGGGAGGGGACCAGATAAAATGACGGAGTCTGACATTGTTTTGGCAAACTTACACGCCGAAGCAACACTAATTTTAGTGACCTCCCATTTTACAAAACATTAAGCTGTCTAATGACAGGGGAGGAAACTGTTATGCAACCTGCTGGACCTGCATCCAATGCTTCGAAGTCTCTTCCCCGAGGGCAGCAGGGAGAACAGTCCATGGTGGGGGTGTGAGGGGTCATTTATGATGTTACGGGCTCGGAACACACAGCGCTGGGATGAAATGTCTTTTATGGCGGGAAGAGGAGCCCCGATAATCTTCTGTGCTTTTCTCACCACTCTCCTCCTCACTTTCTTCCAGTCTGAGGCGCTGCAGCCTCCACACCACACAGTGAGACAGCTGGTCAGAATGCTCTCTATAATGCTTCTGTAGACAGTGGTGAGGATTGGTGGGGGCAGATGGGCTCTCCTCATCCTCCACAAGAAGTACATGCGCTTCTGTGCCCTTTTGACGAGTGAGGTGGTGTTTACAGTCCAGGTGAGGGTGTCTGTGAATTTGGTGCTGTTGAGCACCTCTACAGCTGAGCTGTTGATGACCAGTGGAGCGTGGTTAGGCCGATTCTTCCTGAAGTCCAAGATTATCTCCTTAGTCTTCTCCACGTTTAGGATCAGGCTGTTATCTTTGCACCACTCCACCAGCTGCTCCACCTCCTCTCTGAAGTTCTGGTAATTGTCGTCACTGATGAGGCCCACCACCAGGGTGTCATCTGCAAACTTCACAATGTGATTGGTGGTAAACCTGGGGACGCAGTCATGTGTCAGCGTGAACAGCAGGGGCTCCGGATGCAGCCCTGGGTAGCCTGTGCTTAGACTGATGACATCAGAGGTGTTCTCTCCAACCCAGATTGACTAAGGTCTGTTGGTGAGGAAGTCTAGCAGCCCTTTGCGGAGGGGTGTATTGAATCCCAGCTGTTTCAGTTTTCCCATCAGATGCTGTGGGATGATGGTGTTAAAAGCTGAACGGAAGTCCAGGAACAGCATCCGCACATGGGTGCTCTTCTCCTCCAGGTGTGCCAGGCTTAGGTGGAGAGCAGCAGATATGGCGTCCTTAGTGGAGTGGTTGCGTCGGTAGGTGAACTGGAACTGTTGGCGGCAGACTGGAGACAATGTGTTCTTTAACCAGCCTTTCGAAGCACTTTATCATGACTGGAGTCACTGCGACAGGCCGGTAATGATTGAGCGAGTTGACCTGAGGCTTCTTTGGGACTGGAATAATGACGGCAGACTTGAAGCATGCTGGCACCATGGACTGGTCCAGCGAGGTGTTAAAAATGTCTGTCAGGACACCAGCCAGCTGATCTGCACACTCCTTATACACCCGCCCAGGCATAATATCAGGCCCTGAGGCCTTCCTTGGGTTGACTCTCCTCAGAGGTTTCCTCGCTTCAGCAATGTAATATGCTGCTTATACTGAAGCCACAAAACATTTCAGACCAATGCTTCTTTTTTATGATTAAAATAATGTTTCCCAAATTTCAGTCTGTGTTTTAAAGAGTTTTTGGTGAGAATAATAGTTCATTTTGGATTTGTCCTCAGGGGCTGCACAGTGACGCAGCGAGAAGGCATGGCGTCCTGCTGCATGGAGTTTGCATGTTCTCCCTGTGCACGCGTGGGTTCTCCCTGGGTACTCCGGCTAAAACTACATGACTGTTAGGTTAGTTGGTTTATCCACTTTCTCCAAGGTGTGTGTGTGAATAGTTGTTTGTCCTGTTTGTATCTGTGTTGCCCTGCGATGGACTGGTGACCTGTCCAGGGTGTATCCCGCCTCTAACCGAATGACAGCTGGAGATAGGCACCAGCAACCCTTGCGACCCCAACTGCATGTTGGAAAATGGAATGATGGATGGATTTGACTCTTCTGGATATTACAGATTTTGCAACAGACAAGATACATTTTATCTAGATTCCATAAGAGAATCATGAAATAGCTCTTTTCCACTTGTTTTACCACAAAAACTTGATTTAATTCTGTTGTAAAGGTGTTGTGTTTTGTTTTTGCTTATTTTTTGTATTTCCTCTGTCTGATGGTACAGATCACTCCACTCTTTGGCTTCAGGGTGCCGGTGTCCTCTATGTCAAAGGTCTGATCCGGGACGAGGTTGAATTCAAACCTCTGAAGCAGTTTTGCCATCACAACCTTAGCTTCCATCTGAAAATTCAAGGACATTTTTACATTTTTTTTATTTTATTTTTTACCAAAGTCTGTGTCTTTGTAATTGTGCTGCTACTGTATGGTCATTTCTATTTGAATGACTCACCTGAGCAAAGTTCAATCCTAGACATGACCGTGGACCAAGAGCAAAGGGATAGTAGCAGTAATAAGGCCTTGGAAAAAAACAAAACAAAAAACAAGATAAGATACAAATGTTTTATTCCTTTTTCTGCCGTTGCAAAAAATTAGCAAAGTCACACATTAAAAATAAGCATTATTTTGGAGTTGTGTTTTACTTACTTTGGAGCATCTGGATGAAATCTGTCTGGATCAAATTTCAGAGGATCCTTGAAGAACTTTTCCATCCTTCCAGTAACAAAGTTGCTAAACTGAAAATTAGAGTAATATATTACTGTTAAGAGAAAAATGCAGCTCCAACTTTAATGGATTGCTTCGTTTGGTAACAAGTAATTGAATCAAGTTTATCCAACTTATTTCAAAGTTGGACTAAGTAGGAGCTGTATTTTCTTTTAAGAGTATGACAAGGAAGTTTTTATTAATGTCAGAAATTAAACCAGACTATCAGTTCCCCTTTTTAAGTCAGCTAGGATTAGCTATATTGCTTACATTGCCTTTTTGCTAGATGAGTTATAATATTTTACATGATTTTTTTGGACATTTTTATATTCAACAAAGAACCCAAACAACCCCATTCATAAGGGGCAGACCCATTTATCTGGTTTAGTTTGCATGTTAATGGGGGAGTGGTGGCCTAGTGGTTAGGAAATAGAGCTTGTTATCCTGAGGTTCTGAATTCGAACCCCTCTCCCACAGACTCCCGCTCTGGGTCTCTGAGCAAGACATGCTCCCAAGGTGCCCCACGATGGCAGCCCACTGCTCCTTAAGGGGATGGGTTAAATGTAGAGGTAAATTTCTCTAATGTGAGATCAATAAACTTCAATAATGTTTTCAAGGCTAAAACAAGACTTTATTTTGCTCCAGTAAATAAAACCAGACTATCAGTTCCCTTTTTAAGGTCAGCTAGGATTAGCCAAATTGCTTACATTGCCTTTTTGTTAGATGAGAGATAACTTTTTACGTGATTTTTTGGATATTCTTTACATTCAATAGTGTACATTGTACAGTGCAATTAATTTATGCTGCCTTTCAACAAATAAGGAAACTCCAGATATTAACATAATGTTGCTTTGATATGCTGGTGTAGATTCCCAGTCAACCAGGTCATAGTCATTCCTTCTTGCTATCATCACAAATCCCCACCCATATACAGGGGACCAGAACATCTCCCCTGTTCAGCCAGGCCAACAATTCCCCTTAACGACCCTCATTTCAGAGGCTTAGACCAGTATCAGGTATTGCAGGCTTTA